TATATATATATTTATATATATTATATGTATGTATGTATGTATGTATATATATATATATATATATATATATATATATATATATATATATATAAAGAAGAGAAAAGAGACAGACAGACAGACAGGTAGACATACAGACAGACAGGCAGGTAGACAGACAGAGACAGAGGCAAACAGACAGACAAACAGGGAGACAGAGAGAGAGAGAGGGATAGAAAGGACACAGCAATGCCAAACGATAACCTCTTGGCCGTTGATGGGCGACCCAAGACAAGAAGTTTTTCTTAACGTGCACTAACGAACGCGCCGCTCCCCCATCTCGACCAATCAGACGACGCGGACGGCTGTAAGCGGGACGACGCGCTTTCTGATTGGTTGCTTCAGCCGCGCGCGAAACAACATGCCGCGTTCAACTGGATTGACTCACAGTTGGGCAAATTCACTCGGCCAAAAGATCAGTTTCCTCCGCCAATAAAACAAAATGGATCTCTGGGTTTCCTTGGCTTGTTTCTCTCTCTCTCTCTCTATCGCTCACTATCGCTCTCTCTGTGTGTGTGTGTGTGTGTGTGTGTGTGTGTGTGTGTGTGTGTGTGTGTGTGTGTGTGTGTTGTGTGTGTGTGTGTGTGTGTGTGTGTGTGTGGTGTGTGTGTGTGTGCATGTCGTGTGTGTGTGTATCCATATTTTCCTCTCTTTTTCTCTTTTCCTTTATTTTTGTTTTTGTCTTTCCTTTGTGGAAGAGGAAAAATTGGAAAGAGAGGAAAGAGAGAGAGGGGGGGGGGGCAATCACACTGACAGAATCAGAGAAAACTCGGAATAAAGAAAAATGTAAACATAAAAGAAAAAAAAACACGAAAAAGCACCACAAACTTTGTTATGCCTGACACGAAGCCAGTGACAATGAATCGAACACCATCTCTTATAGGGGAAGAATATTGCAATCGAGACCCGAATTGCTACGTTGTTGAGGACTAATAAACCGAGAGCTTCTAATCCCGACCTTCGAGCGGGCTTCCGTTAGAGCTAGAGTTCCGTGCGACAATTACCCCATCATTTGGTATTCCAGAGCTCCTATGGGCGTTTTAGCAACACTTGGGAAATAGGGTGAGACGAGAGGGAAGAGTGCGTGTGCGAAGGAGTGTGTGTTTGTGAATGTGTGTGTGGTAGTGCCTAATTGTGTGTGTGTGTGTGTGTGTGTGTGTGTGTGTGTGTGTGTGTGTGTGTGTGTATGAGTATGTGTGTGTTTTTTTGTGTGTGTTTGTGTGTGTGTGTGTGTGTGTGTTTTAGTGCTTAATTGTGTGTGTGTTTTAGTGCTTAATTTGTGTGAGTGTTAGTGTGTGTGTGTTGTGTGTTGTGTGTGTTTGTTTAATTGTGCGATAAGTTTATAGGAATGGAGTAAAAGCAAGCAGTGACACATGCGGTAATAAAAAGAAAGACAACAAGGAAGAAAGAAAATAAATGAAAAGTTACGCAGGGAAAACTTCTTGATGGCCAAATTTCTTCTCGTTTTCTATCAATTTTCTTTCAGTTTTCTTTTTAAAATTCTTCCCATTTTCTTTCAAAATTTTCTTCTCGCTTTTTCACACTTTTTTCTCGTTTTCTTTCACAGCTTTCTTCCCGTTTTCTTTCTTAACTTATACCCCGTTTTCAATGGTAAGAGAGGAACACGAGTAACCATTATTTCATTTCGAAATTATGTTTGATATCCTCATCCTAGGCTAATATGACTCTTAAGGTTTTAATAATTCAGTATGCCATTAATGGACAAGGAAGACAGGTTAGGGGGGAGCGAGCAGAAGGGAAAGTAAAGGAACGAAAGGGAGAAAGGGATTAAAAGAGAGAGGGGGGGGGGGTGAAAGGATGCATCAGCGAGTGTGAGGGATTCATCTTATATCTTTAATTGTATTCCTCCAACTTTATCCTTTCTTTCATTTCTTTTCCTTAGTCTGCATACACATTCTGTCTCCCTGTCTCTCCGTTTTTCTATTTCTATTTCTCACTTATTCACTCACTCACTCTTCTTCTTCTCTCTCTGTCTGCCCACCACCCCTCTCCCTTCCCCTCTCTCTCCCCTCTCCCTCCCTCCCTCTCATCCTCATAGTTCCTCTCCCTCCCTCCCTCTCATCCTCATAGTCCCTCTCCCTCCCTGTCTCTCCCTCACTCACTCACTCACTCTATGCCTCTCCTCTTCCTCCAATTCCCTTCGAGGTTTCTGATGTAATTATGCAGGCCGAAAATTGTTTTGGGAACTCGGCATCGGTTGATTAGTAATGTAAACACGATTTTCCCTTCAATGGAGGTAAGGGGGATGGGGGGGGGGGAGGCGAAGGAAAGGAAATGAGGAAGAGAGGAAATAGGCGAATTAGATTAAGGTGAAGTGAAGTAAGAGTGGGAACAGATAGAGCAAGAGGATTGTGTGTGTGGATGCACTTAGTTATATGTCTATGTAAACATATACACGTTCATGTATACGGTGTGTGTGAATGTTTGTTTGTTTGTATGTGAG